CTGAAGTAGAACAAAAGAAAAAAAAATAATCAAAAGTCAGTCACTAAAAAGTATCCCAAGTTATACTTCTGTAAATCCATATAATTGGTTTCAACCTCAGAGACTGACAAAACCAAATCACAGGAGCATTATTTGGGGTATAATTTTGCTAGGATATATATTCAGTGATACTTAAGTGATATTTAGTTATTTGATTTAAAAATATATATGTTCTCTGTACATTAAATATTTAGTGTAGGGGTGCCTGGGTGGCTCAGTCAGTTAGGCCGTCCAACTCTTAGGTTCAGCTCAGGTCACGATCTCATGATTCATGAGATCGAGTCCCACATTGGGCTCCAAGCTGATAATGCTGGGCCTGCTTGGGATTCTCTCTCCCCCTCTGCCTCTCCTCAGCTTGTGCTCTCTCTCTCTCAAAATAAATAAGTAAACTTATTTAAAAAATATTTAGTAGATAATGCTAAATACTACAACAGAGTAATTATGTAGTCTTCAATTCTTTGAGTTCAATTGTAATCTAGTCTCTCCTGACAATGTCACCCCAATAATGTTTACAATATTGAAGGGAGAAAACTTACGGAGAATCAGGAACTTTGAAGAGATCTGCAGCAGAATTCATAAAGCCTACATCAAGTAGAGAGTCACAGAGAACTTTTATACAATGAGTCAAAGGAGAATGAGAAGTGCATGGTAAATAGCCCAGTCCCCATTCAAAGAGGGTGTGATTTGGATGGGGGATATATTTACTTATACCAATACATAATGATAATTCTATAAAAGAGGACAACTGACATTGATATTAATATATATAATTGCTCTACTAAACACAAAGAATTGTTATGTCCTCTAAGGGTGAGGAAGCCTTGGGGAGTAAAAGGCAACAAAAGGGTAAAATTAGATAAGTGCCTTCAAAATTCAGAGGAGTGAGGTGAACAAGAAAGTGAATGGCAATTTCAGGAAGCTTTAGCAAAGGCAGAAAACTTGAAAGTAATTTATTTTGAAAAGAACTAACAGCGCAGGTTGAGTAAATGAATGAGAGAGAGGAAGGCAGGGAAGCAGAAAATAAAATGCAAGTGAGGGAATAATGAACAGTGGATAAAAATAAGACCGGAAATCAGGTGAGCCTTAGAAATCAACAGAAATCTGGAGTTCATTCAAGTTCCCTGAAAATCAAGAACTCCAGAGTATGTAAGCAGAGAAGAAATATGGTCAGATTTTTATTTTTTTAAGAGATAATACTGACGGTCATGGTGAATGGATTAGATAGGGAGAAAATGGAGAATCCCTTTTATAAGATAAACTCACTTGAATAATGGTATTATCACTTACACTAGAGGACGATATTGAAATGGTCGCCACCTTATCAGTTTGGCTTGTCAGTTGAGGCTTTTTGCTGGGTCTGCATCACAGCACAGTTCTTTCTTTATCTAATAGTACTTCCCCACGGCCCCTCTCACATGTGTTGATCCCCAGAACACTCCCTTACAAATATCCTATAAAATAATTTCGCTCTCCCAGTTGACTTCTGGTGGAATTCAACCTACAGCCCAACAGTAAAAATGGCTCCAGATCCACATTCTTCCCTTGGAATGGGATCTTGTTAGGCTGGTTCTGATTTTTCTATTTTGGTCTAGTGTTGGGAAAAGGAAACGTTGAACCAATGCGCATATCTATCCTGAACCTGTCCCACAGAGATCCACAGACTTTTCCCTAGCTGAAGAGAGGCCTTAGGGACCAACTGAGGAAAAGCCTACTTGAAGTGAGAGACTTCACGTCCCCACGTGTGCTGACACTTGTCATTAAGTCTATTAAATCCCTATAGAAATAGTCCTTTCCCTCAAGAAAAGATCAGAATCTTATCCCTTTCACCTAAATGTCACATCGTTTAAAAACAAAAACAAAAAACAAACAATAAGACAAACAAACAAACAAAAAACCTTGGCGTACTTAATTTTTACTTTCCAGAGGAGTAGAAATACTCTGAAATATTTAATTTTTACTTTCTTCCTCTACAGTCGTACCCATCAAACCCTATTGAACATATACCTGTATCATTCATTGTAGAAGACTCAAACTCTAGTTGGAATAGAGTAAACATAATACAAAGGATATTTTAAAATATTTATTACTGAATTTTTTTTGTAAAGGATGTTACCACAGGCCAGGGGCAAATACGAAATGAAGGCGATTTTTTAATAGACATGTCCCTGTTTGTACAAGAACTTTTAAGTAAACATATATCCTAAATTTTGACACTTCAATGGAATACTTTCTACAGATTTTTTTTTTTTCAATTTGCCAGAGGAAAATATCCCTAACCAGTCATTCCTAAGTCAATTATGTGTTGTAGATTGCTTTAGGTCTTGAGAGTACAAAGGACATCCTTCAGCCCCATGGAGTCCCAACATGTGTGGTTTCTTCCGCAGAGAAGTTTGGATTTTTGCCGAAGGGCATGGAGCCAACGCAAACCACGTAGGTCTAAACACTGCTAAAGTACTACATCTTGACACTTTAAGTTGCTACTGTAGAGTACCTTTTAGCACTGGAGTGATTTATATAAGTTTTAAATGTAGATACCTACAAAAACATAAATTCTTTCCTTTTCCTTTGTATGCATAACCTCTTTATGAATTACACATTTGATATGATAAAGGAATATCAGGCAGAAAATCTCCAGTACAGACCCTAATTTTACAATGTGTTCAAATAACCATTTATTTCAATAATAGCATGAGGGAAATCAAAGTTTCATAAATATTTATTTTATTAAATATTAGCACATTTCATGGATGGAATGCAGCCAAAGAGAGATCTGCTTAAAATAGTCACAGAAGGAAGTTATGTTATCAGAATTTATTTTAAGCGATGATGTAATGCACTCATTTCAGATAAATGAACTTTTTCTTCTAATCCCTGAAGGCAGAGAATAGCACAAGAACAAATTCCCTTGAAACTATGAATTGCCTTTTGCTATTACACTAAAGCTGAGACATATTTGGAAAAATGCTTTGTTAGCTATATAGCAGCTCTTCAAGCAAAACTGTGAAACGGACTAAGATTTTCCTTGGTGGCTTTCCTTAAAGGAGTCATCTTCTGCTAAGATATTTACTGATTATTGAGATATTAGTTGATACCACCAATAGGCTCTCCTATACAAATATATATTTTTTAAATCCTAAAGAAAATATATATCCTTAAGCATAAACGGAACAGAACGACAATGGCAGAATGAAGGTAAGCTTTTCAAATTCTAGCCCATATTCACTGCTTATTTTACCTTACTGTAAACAATATTCAAACTATAGAATAATTATATTTTTTAAATAAGATAATCTTATGAGTTTATATTATGAGTATGTCGATTATCATATCACCTACTGCTAATATTTTACCCTCATTGTTTCTTCTAGAAACATCCAACACATGCATATACATTTGCATTCAAACACTACTTCTTTATCAAGTCTGAGCATTCATAAGAAACATCTCCTTTCAGGGTTTGGGGGTGGCTCAGACAATTAAACGCCCAACTCTTGATTTTGGCTCAGGTCATGATCTCATGGTTTATGAAATGGAGCCTCATGTCAGGCCCTGTGCTGACAGCAGGGAGCCGGCTTGGGATTCTCTCTCTCTCCCTCTGTCCCTCTTCTCTCTCTGTCTGTCTCTGTCCCTCCCCAGCTCATGCTTGCGTGCTCTCTCTCTCAAAATAAATAAATACATTTTTAAAAAGATCTCCTTTTCTTTTGGTGGACCTCAAAAATGTACAGAAGAGCTACTTAAAAATTAAATTATTAAAAGGCAAAAAACACTGTTTCTGATGCAGGCATTAATTAAGCAATATTAACACATATGGAGACAACTATTTCACCTATGTAGACTAAGCCCTTAGTGTTGATAATATTCAAATAACTGAGCAACTAATATTTAGTTTTTAAAGCATTTAAAAATCAGAGGTTTAAGTTCAAGTGGTCATTGTAGGTGACAACTGTTTGAAGCTTCAAAGTCCTACAGTGACTTGTGAACGACTCTTTTAGAATGGAAAGAATTCTCTATTAATTCAGTACTGGGGACTATTGACCTGAAATCTTGTAATGGCTCCTAGTATTTTGTTTTTCAATGCTTCTGAAAAAGAAGAAAAAGAAAAACCAATCTAACATGTCTCGTAGATGTAGAATGAATTATATATTATGTCTTCTCATCAGTCATTCAATCCTTCCAGTCTTGGCATCCATCTGGGCTTGCATAGATATTGATATTTGCTAACGTACTTGCTGATCATAATTTATAAGGCCTAAAGGATGGCACTCTTTCCTTTGAGCATTGTGTTGCTAACTGAAAAGGTAAAGCACAGCAGCAGCTGCCTTTTTTTTTTTCAATAACTAGCATATATTTTCTTTCAGTGGTAGATTATTCTTAATGAGGCCATAGTTGAGGTATTAATAATCCTCACCCTCTGAGGGTGCTTGGGCCATAGGAGAAACCTATTCAGTTAAGAAATAAGAATGTGAAAAAAAAAAAAAAAAACAGTGTGGTGTTAAAATGCCACCTTAGTCACACTGTCAATTTGAAATATGGTTATTTGCTAATTGAAAGTTAACAAAAACTTAATTTTACAATTACTATGAATATAAATGTTAACCCTTGATGAATAACTCATTTGGCAGCTTTTCAGTCTAAAACATTACATTTCTCTTGCATAATCCCTTTCATTTATATTTTCAAACGTTCTATTATTACACTTATTCACTGTTAACAGAGAACATGCCTATGTACTTAAATCCACAAAACTCCAAAACGTACATCAAAAGCCAGGTGTTCTTCTAACATGTTCTTTTTGGATATGTAAATGACCTAGTGCATTTGAAACTGAGTCACTTAAAATAAAAGAGGAGAATGGCATAGATGGAAATAAATGCATTCAGCCAATATATATATACACACACACACATACACACACACATATGTAAATATTTATATATATCTTTATATATAAATAAACTGACCTTCTTAAAGTTTTTGTTTAAGTCAACCAGACTGAGCAGGAAGATGTGGTCCTTCGCTCCTACAAGCAGCCTGCCCCTCTCCTCATCCAACAGAATGGTTTGGAAATCTAGTCCTTCTGATGAACCCAAAAACGGAATGCAGCTATTTGAAAGCAGCAAGTCTATGGGAAAGTAAAAGAGGAATTGAAAGAAAGAAAACATTAATTAGTAAAATATTTACTTGCCTCAATACATACATTTCTCCACTTTGTAAATGCATACATACAGTATGCATGCTCAAATTTAGATAGAAGCAAACAAGATACGGTTTTTTAGCACATAATCATTTAGAAATCACTGTGATTTATTACATTTCATTTTACTGATACAACATTAATCTTACATATGAAAAATGCAAGATATTAAAATGAGTATTTTCAAAGCAACTGAATGCAAAATATTTCACTACTCTGTCCACCTTCTTAAGTTACAAATGAAAGCATCAGTTTGCAAATTGATTAAATAAATCAATATATGCAAAGTAAGCATGAAACTAAGTGTATGATAAAACTTACAGCATTTCTTCGCCCCCTACTTTTGATAAACACATCACTATGTTTGGAGGATAATAGGGTTCCTATTTCATGCATTCAGGGAGTAAACAAAGAAGCCAAATCCAAGAAAATGGATTCTGAGAGATATATGATCCTGAACCAGTAAAGAGATCAAAATAGTAAAGCAGGAAGGGACCTTGAAAATCAATTAATACGGATTCATGATTTTATAAATGAAGGTATTTAACTCCAGCAAGGTGAAGCCACATGCCTCAAGTCTCAAAATCAGGTGATGGTAAGGTTGATAATACAGCCTCAGTCCCAGTCTCCATTCTCTTTGACACTTGTCTGTATGTCCTAATTCTTTTCTTTTTTTTTTTTTCCACTTACAACTGTGATATGGATAGACCTATTAAATTTAGGTCCGGGTTTACAGAAATACAAATCTTTCAACAGATTTTGCCTCAAATACTTATCATACCCTCTCATTTTCTATAGCCTCATAATATTAAATACCAATATAATAATAATACCACTCATCACTCATTAAAGTCCATTTTATGTTGATGGACTTTGAAACTAAATCATTATTTTCAAGTAAGTCATTATTAATTGATGAGAAAAATACAAAGAGGCAATGTCTCAGAAACAGGTAACAGGATACTTCCAAAATGTATCATGGCAATTTTCAACCTCTGTAAATGGATATATGAGTCTTCTAAATTTAAAGCCTATATATTCCACACATCAACTGTGGGCTCTATTGCTACTCCATATTTTTGAGTATTCCCTTCACTCTTTTCTCTAATTTACAATGGTTACATGTTATTTCCCTTATTCATCACGATAGATTTTGGTCTTAGTTTTGACAAACCCAAAGGCTGTATGCCGAAGAAGAAGATATGAAATTATCTGAATTCTCAAGTGAGTGTGGTCTTACTAATGCTTATCAATCTTGCTTTATGTATACTGGATAGAAGTCTGGATATAGTAACCCAATACTAATTATTTCCTCTCAAGCTAAATATGACTTGAGTAGTTTTTCAGACCAGAGACCCATGGAATAATATTTTTTAGCATCTCCAAATACAGTAACCCTATTTTTGTAGGCTAATATCTGATAAACATTCCATACTAACTATAAAGTAGAACTGAGGAAAGAATAATGGAACCGAGTGGATAGATAAGACAGATATGATCTAAAGCCTTAACAAAAGAAAACATTTCACACAAACCCTTATTCACTGAGGTGATTTGGTATGTTCCATGACATTCCCACTTGTTTAACAAAGAATAAAATGGGCAAAATGGAAAAAGTATGCAAGGGCCTCCAAGAGCATATCTTGACCCAATTAATAGAGAAAAGTAGGTTATATGATATACATCTTATTATTTCAAGTGCCCATGGATAATAATCAACTATTTTGAACCATGCATTTGCAACGTTCATTAACAAAAAGAAACATGGGTTAGCCTAATGAGTGTGAGATTTGTGTCTAGACCACTTGGGACATATCCCAGCCTCACAAATCTAGCTGTGATCTAGGAAAAAAA